TTTTATAAGCTCGGTCTTTTTGGTCGCTATATATATATATATATATATATATATATATATATGGTTTCAACATGAAAGGACATATATCTTACTGATTCATTGGTCCCCGAAAGTACTGGATTGCAGAAAAAAATAAAAATTACAAGCCTAATCCATACATAGCATTAGCATTTAAAATTTAACATGAAATAGCATACTTTAGAGCGCAGACATTTCATCTCCTCGTGAAACAAACTAGAAGACAATGTTTAGATTATGGCTGGATTCAATAAGCCGAGCAAGCGACGATAATAATAAAAATATTAATAAGGTTAGATGAATAAGTACCAAAAAGTTCACTGAAAGAATGAAATACAATGAGATTCTGAGATGACTAATGATAATAATAATAATGAAACAACTTGAAATCATACCTGAGGTATATCTGCAGTAACGGTACCAGCTTTCGGATTTGGCATTAACCCACGTGGTCCTAAAAGCTTTCCCAAACTGGCTACCTATGCAAGTTTAATCCACATACCATTTTGAATAAAAAATGGAATCTAGTTGCAAAAGGAAAAGAGGATAATCAGAAAAGATGATATTTCGCTAACAGTCTCAGCTAGCATGCTGCAGAGTGTGATCAAGACCATGAAAAGTGTAACTAATGAAATAATAATGAGCAAAAGGCATGAATATGAAATACCAAAGATGTTAATCATTTACAAGAAAATAAGGTTTAAATCCAAAAAGTAATATCTAGACTACATTTGGCCAATTTAGTCCTATCACATTTCTACAATTTATTTGCTCACTTGTACAAAAAGCAATCTAAAATTATCCCTCGAGGACTAGATTGGATCAATTTTGCCTAGTCAAGAAATTAAATTGGGATCAATTTTATATTATAATTTCTACATAAGGGGCTCTTTTGGATCAATTTTGTGTAGTCAAAAGACTAAATTATAGAAATGTGATTCTATGATTAAATTAGCCACATGTTGCAAGAAAATGTTAGGATATAATTTTGAAATTAAAAAGGGGAATAAACTTTGATCACTTTTATGAAATTTTTATTCAAAATAATATAAGATACAAAATTAAAATCTTCCATTTCATCTTAACACTCATACATGATGAAAGTCATTACTCAATTATTTTCATATTTGTATTATCTTATGGCACAACTTTACATGATTGGTGCATAACTAAGCACTAGTTCCACTTTCAAGAAGCTCATTCTAACTTGGAGACCATCAAGAAAATTGGGAACCATTTATAAATGTTATGACCAAGTTGTTAAAAGTTGTAGCGGACACACATCAAATAGATAAGTTCAAAGTTTAATGGCAAAACTAAAACTGAATCGGAAATTGAACTGAGTGATGCCATAAATATTCAAATTATTTTACCATAATTTAAATGATGAAATAATAATGATATTTTCGTCAATTAAAAAATAATATTTTAAATCGAGACATTTCACTTTAAATATTTTGAATAAGATTCTAAATTAAAATTTTGAGAATTTATATTAAATCTTATTTCTAGCCGTCTAATAAAAAAAAATGATCAATATTTGAACATGTCAATTCAAAAATAGACCAGTTCACCAGTAACGTGTTGAACCAAAAGCAACTTTAGACTTGTACCAAACTGATCAAATGACCAATTCACGATTGAACTGATCGAATGCATCAATTTGGCCTTATTTTGAAAACATTGTTATGAAGTTTCTTGGCTTTCAAAATTTTAGTGTGATCAAGTTGAATGATATTACATCCAATTGTATGATTCTCCAAATTTGTTTTTCTGATTACTTTATATAGTGTAAAATGAGAAAAGAAACATTTTGTATACGAGAACATTCTCTTATTTCATAATACTAGAAAATATTTTTCCAATTTAACCATCCAATATGATCTGAAAATAGAATGTCCACACCTAAATCCACATTCATTTGAATAATAAAAAAGAAACAAAGATACTTTTCAAACATAGCCATCTATGATATTACATAAATATTGAATGATAGTTATCCATTTTCAATTAAATAAAATTGCAAGTCACATAAAAATCTTTAATCAACTATCTTAGGCTCTTATCTTTTAAAAACTATATATATTCCTCTAACTTTATTGTATTTCTTGGAAACAGAGATACTTTTCAAACATAGCCATCTATGATATTACATAAATATTGAATGATAGTTATCCATTTTCAATTAAATAAAATTGCAAGTCACATAAAAATCTTTAATCAACTATCTTAGGCTCTTATCTTTTAAAAACTATATATATTCCTCTAACTTTATTGTATTTCTTGGAAACAGAGATACTTTTCAAACATAGCCATCTATGATATTACATAAATATTGAATGATAGTTATCCATTTTCAATTAAATAAAATTGCAAGTCACATAAAAATCTTTAATCAACTATCTTAGGCTCTTATCTTTTAAAAACTATATATATTGCTCTAACTTTATTGTATTTCTTGAGAGAGATCAATTGTAAAAATTATACTATTTTCGAATAGAATGCACCAAAGTACATCACTTTACATATATTCAATAAGAATCTGTACAACCAATACAAAGAGAATACAAAGAGATATTCTCTTTCATTGATGGTGAAATAATCCCAAAAATGTTAGTTTTTTTTTAAATTTGCAACTACTAATGTTAGCCGCTCTAACATTACACGTGTATCATAAATTCAACATACATTAAATAAATATTTGCCATAATGCCTAAATAATTTATTCCCACATCGATCATATGCATTTTCAACATCAATAAACATAATTTAAGAATCATTTCATTACTTCATAATTTTTTTCATTAATTAACTTAGCAAAAGGCGGCTTCAAATCAAATCTTCTTGGCATAAAACTAAATTGATTTGTACCATAGTGATGTAATTTTATTATGTCTCATTTCAAATCACATTATTTCATTATATGATTTATATGCCTATGTTTTCTATAGTTACATTATGATTGAAGAGTACCAAAATGTTTCTTTTATAATCACTTCACAAATATACATTCACTTCCTACTTAGGATCATTTTAGATTTTTTCTATTTTTATTTTTTTTCTTTCATTTTTAAAAACATGTTTAATCCTTTTTTTAATATGTTTTTGCTTTTATTTTTAATAGATCAACTTATCTTTACAAACAATCACAATAACTTTTAGGTGGTTTAAATGTTCTTAAAGACAATTATCACTACTTTCATCCATTGCAATCACCAACAAAATCAATTATTTAATATTCAATAAAAACAAAAAATAAATAATTTTATGATACTAAATATATTTATTATGATCTCAAACAATCCCATTGTTTTTAGTATTTCATTAAAAAAATTTTTAAACAAAACTTTTGATCTACAAAACCCTTCAAATCTTAATAACTAACTTTTTGTTAATTCAATTTAATTTTATACATCATGCTTTTATTTTTCAATCTTAATAAAAAAAATTTGTGCATGCTTCATGATTTTCGTTATTTGCACTTATAAAAAAATTTCACCATTAAGCCTCCCGTTCAATTTTTCTCAAAAAATTATGTAATGCTTTCTCACATGCTATGTCCACCTCTCCTTAATACTTTCATGTTTAACTAAGGATGTTACCATAATTCATGATCAACTAATTTGTTAAATCAGTTTATTTAGTAGATTCAAATTTTGTTCATTTATATGCTACATGAGATGAATTTCAGATAGTTATTGAGTAAAACATAAGCTATTTGCCAGCATCATGCTGGATTACTACACCTATAGATTTCCATGAACAAGATGACATTTTTGTTGCTGAGAATGTGATTGAAATCCTAACAAAAAATTTCGAAATACTCGCCTATTTTTGTTCAATTAACCCATGTAACCTGAGAGACCAATAACAAAAATAGGAAATCCCTACAACCTAGTAAATGCCTCATCAAAACAATGTTGTACTCTAACATATCCATAGAAATATGAAGTATCTAAAAGAAGTAAATCAAGGTCTTACCCCATTAATCCAATCTAGCTTATTTGAGAAATATTTTTCTGAGAACTGGTTTTTAGGATGTATAAAAGTAATGCAATGAATTGTTATATGTGCAAATCATATTAAAAAGGCTAAGCCATCCAGCTAGGTCGCTTAGCATAAGGAATACAAAGTGAAGTGTGTATCATGTAGCACAAAAACATGAATGCATGGTCAAATTCCAAACCGAATGGCACTTTACAATGTCTAACTATGGTGCCTTGCATTCATGTGGCTGATCGTATGCTAGCAAAAGTTCACCTTATAACATTAAAATAAGAGGAAAGGTAAAAAAGAACATTAAGATATTGAAATGCTGATTAAGATTATCCTTATGACAGGTAAGGAGGAATAAATATTAATATAATGAAATGCTAATGATATGAAAAGCTTGGTATTTAAGATTCATAATCCATATGATAATTTTGCCTTATATGTCATGATATAGTTTGTTGACCGTGCAAAGCAGGACAAACAATACAAGGCCAAAAAGGCAAATAATTAATTACTGCTACATTAATCAGGTCTATCATAACAACCATAAGAACACATCGCAAATACATGATAATAAAGCTCATCATTTTATACAAGCATTTTCCATGGTACTATATGTCTAATCCTATCCTCGTCATTGGCCTTATCCCACCGCATAATCAATCTATTTCAAATTCTTCTAAAACTCTACAGCAACCTTAGAAACTTTCTAATTTCACATCAAATTTAGATCAAACAAGGAATTTCAATTAGTACCTATTAATAACTTATCTTGAAAGATGGCAATTTTTTGTCTTTCAAATCATCAATTGGGGCTCCAAAATTCACGACCGGCCCTTTTGAGAGAGTATTAATTCCAATTAAATTTTTCAGAAAACAAATCAAATTATAAATAATACATTACTTAGAGATTTCAACTTCATTTGTGGGGAATTTGTAATCTAGTTCCAACTTTCCCATAGCCGCAAGCTCATACAACTAATTATCCTCACTATGGGGAGAGAACTTTCGATTAAGGTTATTTGCCAAATATTAGATATTTTTCCTATAATAATAACAATTTTCATTTTACAAGAAGAAAATTTAACACCTTTAGCTTAGTGTGAATTGTGGAAAAAAGATAACAAACTCAAATAAAATCTCATACTTCAATCATCCTCGTTTTCATGGATCATGATCTACTAAGAAGAAATAAATGACCTAATATGACCAATGAATTATTGTCAACAACTATGAATTACATTACCTAATAGGACTTTATAAACCTGAGGTAGCAGTTTATCTAAGAAAATAATTTTAAGCGTACTTTAGCTAATAGGAGATTTCATGCCTTACCAAGTGCACTCTATAATTTATTGCTCAAGTGGTTAGTTATTTGGAGAATTTTCAAGTTTTGGAACCTTGCAAGTTTTTTTCATGAATGTAATTTAATTGTAATTTTCTAACAAACAATCCAATCAAAAAGCTATAATAATAACCATACTTTTAGTACTGTTATTTGACGATAAAACTACTCAATCAGAAGACACGTGCCAAGTCTTTACTAGTGTGAAACATTTGAGACGGTCATGAAGGTACATTTGATATGACATTAATCTTTTTATAGTTTAAGTTAATGTTAGATCTATCAATCTCAAAAAATCATTGTAGAGTGGGAATGAATTATTACTTTAAGTTTGGGGCGATCAATATTATTTAAATACAATTTTAATTTTGTAATGTTGTTCAATTCTTTTGCACTTTTATCTATGTTTAAGCCCAAAATACTTTACATTGGGATTTCAAGTATTTTGAAAAAACAATCCTCTCTAGCTGAGATTTCTCTTAAACACATCCATCATTAGGCTATGACTGTATACATTTTTTTTTATTTACAATTTGAGAGCTTTATTTTGAGAGTAAACTCCTCCAATTATGACGTGCAATAAATATGCCCAACATAAGTATTTTTAAATAATTGGAACCTGATCAAATTTGTTTGTTTGCCTGCACAAGAATCGGGTTTACAATTTGAGTTCATATTAAAAATTAATTATGATATAGACTTGTGGGCTTTACTTGGAATGTAGAGGATCATAACTAAAAGTCAACTTTTATTGCACCAAAAAAAAAAAGACAGGTATAATTTGGTGAAATCTACTTGTGCTTATTCCAATTTTATAATGACATCATTTTATTCGATTAGATTGAGAGCAAAAATTAAACTTAATCTCCATTTGACAATTTGGTTGAAATGTATTATTTAAATATTGTCATCAAACAATCAGTCTCATCAACTTTGGACCCTATGGGGAGAATGGCCAGACATGCGAGATTTGCAATCTTATTCCATATATAGAGTAGACCATCTAAAAGTGTGTGTATAACAAGTTTTCATTTCGAGTCAAAAAAATGTTTGTAAAGTTCAAAATATTGCATAATTTTTAACTTAGTTGCATGCTTTAGAGTGATTGCACGCTTCATAAGGTGCATAAATTTTGAATTTTTTTATTCAATTTATTCATTATTTTTGTTTGCGGAACATTCTTTAAATCAAGGTATCAGCATTTAATATAACTGTAGGAGCATATGCAGACAGATTTTCTTTTGATGAACACACAATTTCCAATGTACTTGCATGATACTTGTACACATTTTAAAACACGTGCATGATGCACTTATACAATTTTTAGTACACTAGCATCATGCACTCACACAATTTTAGAGCATCTACACAATACATTGGCATGCTTTTGACAACATTGACGACACTTACATGACACATCTGAATGCTTTTTGGTGCACTTACAGAACTTTCAAGTCATATAATTGAATTTGAATGCTGCCTTGCATTGTCTGTGCATTATTATTATTATTAACTTTTTTTGTATTTTACTTGTTTGCGCAAGTATTTTGTCACTACAATTCACATAAACTTCCATTTTAAATTTTGTAGATCGCATGTCCACTTGCATGCATATGCTGTGAGTCTGATTGCAAATGTTACAAAGTATAATCTTTTTATGGGACCATATCATAATCTTTGACCTTATAGGATCGCAATTTAGTATATTGGGCCATACAAGTCCTGTTCCTCCTATAAATAAAATTATTCTTTTAGTTCAATTTCACATTCATTTGGGTTTTCTCATTTGCATAAGAGCACTCAACAGAGTTATGAGTGTTCTTAAGAGCAAAAGGGAGGTCATGTTCGTTTCTTGTAAGCGAGCTTTCGCAAATTCCTTGTAAGTCCTATTTTAGTTCAGTTACATGTTCAACTTTGTTCTCATTTTTATTTCACAATTTACAATTTTTAGATTTCAATCAATATTATTTTAAATTGCATTTGTCAAAAGTCCCTTGTTATGTTTTGTTTATGCCTCATATCAGAGTAAATTCCAACAAGCTCCTCACATCTACCCTAGAGGGGTACTTACGAAGAGTGCAAGACCTACCCACAGCACTAAAAAAACACATTATTAATATACTAAAGCACCAATCATGGCCTTTATAGCTCACCACGTCAAAAAATGGATGCATAGGATAACTACTCGAGAATTTTGCAATGTATAGGATTTTTCCCATCATGCTAAGAAAAGCAAGCATGGAGCTTACAGAATACAACACGAGTGTCTCCTAAAAGTTTCGCCCACAAAAATTTTAAAAGGTTTTTTATGAGAGTATTTTATACATGGGTACACAAGGCAATGAGGATGATAATAAGGCAAAGCAATGAGATTTTTGTGGATAATTCAAATACCAATTGTTTTTCAAATTTCTCTTTTTTCGTTGCAAATACTTCTACCTTTTCTTGGAATTTCTCTATATTTTTCCATTCGTTCCTTTTTTTTTATTCGCTATTTTTCTAATACACACACACAAATACATATATTTTTATCTCTCTATCCACTCATACTCTCCCTCTCTTTAACACACACACACAAACACTCTAGGAGGGGTAAGGTTGTTATGACTAAATGATTTAAGCCATAGAATCGAGGTAGTTATTCTTTTGGGACATGCAAATGAGATATGCTATCTGAAATTAAATAATATAACGTTACTTAGAAAACTCAATGGGTATTAGATCTTTATATTTGTTATCATTTGTTTTAGTCAACTGATAATTGAATGCCTAGATATTGATAGACAATGTCAACATCTAATAATTATCAAAAATATAATTAAATGTCACTTACGACACGGTTGTTTAACATGCATGTAAACCAAACATCTAATATCTCATAACAGCATAAACATTATATAAAAAATGTTAGTGAATTAAATATATGTTAAAATGGCAACTGATCAGGATCCTGTCAACATTTCAAAATAAAATCAATTAAATATTTATATGCTGAAGAACAACTTATATCCCTCTCTATTTTAGAATTACATACCTTGGGCATCATATCTGGAGAGGCAATCAATTTATCAAAATCCATGAATCCTCCTTTAATTTGTTCGATAAGGTCTTCTCCCCCGACTATGTCAGCTCCACCATTTTTTGCTTCATCTACCTTTTCCCCTATAACAATCAAAACAATAAAAAAAAAACCATATAAGCATATATTAAGCTAAAGAATAACAGAAGTAAAGATAGGACAAACCAAGAAAATCCCATTTAAGTAATGAAATGTCACTAGCACAAAATTTAATGCAAATTTTATGTCAATCTTTTTGCCATAAACTTAAATAATTGATTATTAGATCATCCAACTATATATTTTAGCAACATTTATTTAGAACAATATAGTTCAATGAGATGAACAAAATAGATACCGACTTAAAATAAACACAAATCAAACATCATAAGCAAAATTAAAAACTTGGCATGGTCGAGTTGACCATCGACCACTACCTCACTTGAGACATTTATAGTTGGTTATCATCTAACGCCTACCAACGATTAATGTCTGACATATTCTAATCATCATAATCTGACACCAATCTTCTCAGGTGTCTAGTCTCCCCTCTTATAAGAGGAGTGATAAGCCGATTGCTTGACATCACCTAACTTTTAGCATTCCTCATCACCTGATGCCAACCAAAGGAAGATGCTTGAATTCTATCAATTACCAACATCCGTTGTTGTATTTTAAGTTGCTTGATCTCCCTCCAATAAGGAGAGTGATCAAGTCAACAGCTTAATGTCGCTAGGTTGTCAATGTCCTCACTGACATCTATCATCCACTAGCCACGAGTGTTTGGCATCTATCTTCTAAGATGCATGATTTCCCCTTTTACAAGGAGAATGATCAAGTTGAACTTTAAATGCATACCCAAGATCAACGCCTTTTATCCAACTCTCACTGACATCAGACACCTCTCTTTCTATCGACCCATCCTCCTATAAGAAGAATAACTTAATCAATCATGAAATATTAGCCAAAATCACTTGACGTCATTCAACACTCACATTCCTCGTCGATCATTAGCCAGCCTCTAATGTTGCTCATCAGCTGTCAACCAAAACTTACTAAAAATCAACTTGTAATGTCTTTGAACCACCTACATATTATGTTCATCTTTCAAAATGGCTGGTCTCCTCTCCGATATGAAGAAATATTAGGTCGGCAAATCGACATTGCGCGACCTCTGATGTTTATTATGAACCACTGATTGATGCTCACAAGGTTTGAAGCTTATCAACCCCCATTATTAGACATCCCAGTTGATCGCCCAATGTCTCTCAACAATCATCGTCCAACACTCATCAATGCCCAACATCCACCAAACACAAGTACCTGAAGAATAGTTGCCTAGTCTCCAATCTTATAAGAAAATGATTAGGTTAATTTTCTGATGTTGTCCTATTTCTCTTAAATTACCCTATGTCAAATCCTATAATAAGGACGACCAATCCAAACATCAACCGACTTCTTATGTTCACAATCGACCGTCATCTTAAGTCTCCCAACAACTAACATCTGATGTTTGTCAGAGCCAAAGTACATTAGAAAACTTCTTGATTTCTTGATCTCACCTATAATAAAAACCACTAACTTACCAACTAATGTTATAAGACCATTGTCATTCATCATTGACCGTCATCTAAAACCCACCAATATATGATGTCACCAACCATCAACACACATATCCCTACTTGTCCAATCTCCCCATCTATAAGAATAACAACGGAGTCAATCGGCAGAGCTCTGGCAAATCATCAGAACTCTGACAATCTTCATCAACAGTTGCTTGATGCCTACTAAAAACCAACAAGTGAAAACCACTAATGCTCGACTTATGACTTCATACCTTCTATATTACTCATCTACATTCATCCAACACCTACGAGCGACTTATATCGAACTTTTGCTAATCATTTACATTTGATCACCCCTCCTAGAAGAAAAATGGTCTCCTAACCTCCCATACTCCCTATCGACTAGCGCTCAATGCCTACTAAAGGACAATATGTGTTACCCATATTACCACTCATTTAATGTCCACAATTATAAAGAAAAAACCAAGTTGCCTACCCACCAGCACCTCACAATAGCTCAAAAACCTCATGATTCCTCTTACTACCACCATTAAAAAAATCTTCCAAAATTCATATCTATTATTATACCAATGCCTTCACAATTTAAGAGGAAGTACTCTACGACTCACTCTAGTAAAACTATTTCAATTGGACTAAACCCCATGATTTTTCCTCTCTTTGGGCCATATGAGAAATATTACATTTCATAACAGCTGCACTCAATTTTTGTAAGCGTGATTTTTTATTTCAACGTTGATATGATAAACTCTCCATCTACCACAACAATTATACTAACACACCACAAGCATAGATAATTAGCAGACACAGCCATAGCCCATAGCATTTAGTTACCCGCCTTGAGTAAGAACAGCCACTCTAACAGTTTGTCCAGTCCCCTTCGGCAGGTTAACCTGGAAGCCCAGGACAGTCACATATGAATCACTGAAATCACAAAAACTGGTACTAAAAGCTCACTAAAAAATTAAAAAATAAAATCCCTTAAATCCCTACAGTGGCCCTGAGCTGCTGATCGTTATACTTGGGGTCAATATTTAGCCGGAAGTGCGCCTCCACGGACTCCACGAACCTAGTTTTTGCCATCTGCTTCAGCAACGACACGGCCGACGACACATCATACTCCTTCTTACTTTCCCTCAGCTTCTGAATCTCCAAGAATCTCTTCGAACGCCTCTGCAGAAAACGACGCAAAAAGGCTTAAATGCATTAATGAATCACTGTCATAAACACCACTTTGACATGATCAAATAGAAATCAACGCATACTCTGTCCCTCTTAAGCGGCAGCGCCGCCTTGCCAACCTTGGGCTTCGAGGAGGGCGACGAAGCGGTAGATTCTTCCTCAGTATCGATATCGATATCGGCATCAGCGACAGCGGAGACAGCCTCAATACGGATTGATTGCAACGCTGGCCTTCGGGAGCTTACAGCCAGGAAGTAATTCCAGCGATTAAGAAAGAGATGAGGGTAAGAAGGGGGAGAAGAGGAAGAAGGGAGAATGACGAGAGACAAGAATTTCGGGTAGGTGAGAATGCTGGGAGTGGAGGAACCGGTGGGTAGAGTACTAACGGGGGCAGCGACGAGAGCGGCCATTGTTGCTGATTCGTGATGCTTTGCTTCCCACCTGTGCTACTGTTGCTCGAGAGGGAAGGGGATAAGAGTGAACGACTTAGTTCTCCAAATGAGACATCCTACTAAAATATTTTTTATTTTTTATTTTTTTTTCTTTTTGTTTTATTTAAAACAATATATATTTGATCATAATTATTTTTAAAATTGTTTAAAATAAATTTTAGATATTTTTAATGTTTTTAAAACAAGTTAATTCATTTTAAAATTAAATTTTTAAAATATGAAAAAAATAATAAACAAATATTTTTTTTTAAATAAAAGTAAAAAATTAAAATTAAAAATCAAAAAATAAATTGATCGCAAACAAGCCCTAAATATATTTGAATATGTCCCGAAAAAAAAATTGTTGGAGGATATGAATCATTTAACTAAAAGGGGTAAGGGTTTAGATAAATTTTAAATATTTATATAATAAATTTTAGATATTTTTAATGTTTTTAAAACAAATTAATTCATTTTAAAATTAAAATTTTAAAATATGAAAAAAAATAATAAACAAATATTTTTTTTAAATAAAAGTAAAAAATTATAATTAAAAATCAAAAAATAAATTGATCACAAATCATTTCATATAAATTATTTTTAAGCTTATTTGACCAGAAAATTTTGATTTTATATATCTCATGATAGCAAAAATTAGGACAATATGTTTGTTAGTTTTTCGCTCTTGAAATATACTTGATAGTTCATTCTGAACCAAAATTCTTCTTTTTTTCAAATGACGGGATGCTTATTAAAAATTTATTGCAATTAACATAATAAAAGTTTTAACCAACAAGAATTTGTTTCGTATTTGAACATTAGTTGAACTAGAATTGATTGGGATTCAACATGGATCTGACAAAATTCAAGTTATATTTAAACATTATTCAATCATGGTGTAAATATAGTTCGAATAAAGTTTGCATAGAGATTATAATAATACAGATAATTTTAACATAGATACAATATAATAACTTTAATTATAATGATTGACTATAAGAAACATAATACAATGATCATTGCATGATATTTGGTATTGTGAAGGACGTGACACAAGAGACATAACATTTTGTGCAATTGAATTATCTAATGTATAAGTTATAAAATGACATTCATGTGACAAGAACATAAATTCATAAGTAATGCAAACTTAGCTAATGAAAAAATAAATGAATGTAGAGAATTAATAATTACATCAAAATAATAAATGGATATATTGATCTTTATTGTTATGAAAAATATATACACAAATAATCCCTGAAAAATTCTATGTGATTGGGTATATCTTTTTCATTATTTTCTTTGAATTAGATATATATATATATATATATATATATATGCATTGCCTTTGCAATTATCATTATAAAATATAAAATAAGCATTTATATTATAAGTGAAAGAACTACTTAAATTTTCTTAATATTTTAAATGCTTATATTTTCTTAAAATTTTTAATGTATTGACTTATTATTATTATGGGGACCTTATATCAAGAGCCATTGTCCACTTATAGGGAATTTAGGAGGAAAGAATGTTTATCTTTTATCAGACTAATTTAATTGCTTATACAACATAGAGAAATATTTATAGAATCTAACTATTATTAAGTGGAAGGTATATTATTGTCCCCATTTTTAATGAGGTTGATGCACTTTCTTTCTCATCCTAGGTAGATAAAATATGATTTTAGCATAAGAGCTCCCTCATCATTAGTTCATGATTTCAATAAAACAAACACAAACACGAACACAATCATGATGATATCTTATTCCAAAATTCATAAAGTTACAATAATGTTAGAAAGATTGAATCAAATTCCTCACATAGCTAACTCTCGCGACGACATTGGTAACCCTCTTAATCAGCTCTGAAACTACTTTTAAGCTGAATCTAGTAGGTCATCATTCCAAGATGTTGGTTTTGGTGGTGATGTGGTTCTATGTGCACTGTTTTCTAGCTTCTTTCTTCAGGATGTAACACCGTGAAACCAAAGTTTAGTGTTGTGATGCTCAACTCTCCATCCATTTGGTTGATTTTTTTCTTCTTCTCATACCAAGAAGCTTCTAAATGTGGCACCAAAGTATCTTTTGATTTGTCTTGAATACATTTTTCTTTAAATCTTTCAATTCCATGGTGCCAACAATAAGCATTGTGCCACTGCACTTTTGGATTCTTGAGCAATGTCTTCATATTTCAAGATCATAGTGCTTCCTAAATAACAATCCCTATAAGGGCTAAGAGTTTTTATTTTCATCTCTGTTTAAGTGAACTTTCAGATCTTATAATCATGAACAATGAACATTTAGATCCATTTTTTTCTTTAATCAAATAGGTATCATTGTTTATACATGTTTGTGATTTCATTTTGCAATTGTGATGATGGATACATATGTTATTATGATGTTTTTTTTTTGTTTGTTATGTGCAAGCATGTGTAAATCAAGTTGTTTTGTTGCAATTTTTTTTTTCTTATTTCAAGTTTATTTTTGATTAGCGTCGGAATATCCAACACAAACATTACAATCAGTTGTTTGATACTTGGCGTCATTATTTTGATCCAAATTATATACAACATAAAGGTGTCAATGCTAATTTCTGTCGACCTTGTAGACACAAATTTGACATTAGAATTGCGTCGAGTGATTTGTCGACAAAAATTCACAATGTCTGATTTTGTTTCAACGCTAATATCGACACAAATGTCGATGCTAATCTAATTAGCAACACCCATTTTAATGTCAAAATTTTTTCGATGTAAATCCGACTCAAAACTCCATTAGCATCAGAATAGTCCGACGATTTTCCTCCAATTTCCTGTAGTGAATGCATGTACATATGAAAGTTTAGCTGTGCAGTACATAAATTCATCAGAATTGCATGCTATTGAATGTAAATTTCCCTAACATAATTGTTTTTTTCATAATTTTTTTTAATTATTATTATTTTTATTATAATTTATTGTCATTAATATTATTTTATAAATAATACTAATTTTTATTTTGAATTATTATTATTATTATCATCATTTTTATTAATTTAAATTATAAAGTTATAATAAAATTTATATTTTTGGTTTTTTAATTTAATAATTATTGTTATTCTCAATTATAAAATTACTCTATTTTTTATATTTCTGATTTTGCACTTTTTATTTAATAATTATTTTATTTTTTTTTTAAAATTATTGATATTATTTTACTTTTTCAATGGTTTTTTTATTAAATTATTATTATTATTATTATTATTATTATTATTATTATTATTATTATTATTATTATTATTATTATTATTATTATTATTATTATTATTATTATTATTATTATTATTATTATTATTATTATTATTATTATTATTATTATTACTATTTTAAGTTAAGCAAGTTTGAAAAAGGTAAAAATATTTAACAAATGTTAATAAACCTAAAAAACATTTTCTTATCTTTGATTAATCATATCATAATATTAAAAATAATAAAATATAACAACAAAATAATTTGATTAACATAATGCATAAAATATATATGATAAATTAGGCAATAATAATAAAATATGGAAAATATTAAATAAACACATGAAAATCAGCACCAAGAAAATTCTAATTAACATGCTCATAGTTACCACGAGCTCTCCCTCCATCTTGATACTTAGAGGCGTTAATTTGGTCAGCGGGTCGGGTTCATGTCTAACCCAAATAATAAACTCACAGTTACCACGAGCTCTCCCTCCATTTTGATACTTAGAGGCGTCAATTTCAGATCGAGTACAAGTCAAACCCAAATAATAAACGGGTCGAATGCTAAGACTCGAGCACAACCCAAACTCAAGATTGACCAGTTAACACGAACCCGACCCAAACTTTCATGTTTTTTTGGGTCATGTTTAGGTTTTCATGTTCAACTCGAACCTGACCTGAATAATAAACAAGTCGAATTCTCTGACCCGAACTCGACTCGAAAAATATTCGAGCCAACCCTAAGTCTGATTTTTCGAATCGAGTTTGAGTCGTGCTGGCATGTCGGGTCAACTTTTGACACCCCTATAGATACTTTTTAGGTGTATGTATGCTTTCTAACCATAGCCTCATTTAATAAATTTAATACCATGTTTAATGAGAGGCTCCAAGGACCTCCGCTGTATCACGGGGGCCGCCCCGGGCGCCGCTCCGCGTC